AATGACGTCACTCGACGGTGCCCAGCACCGCAAATTGTGCACATTGCATTCGATAAGTTGATGTTCCGATTTTCATGATTAAGTTTTGAAAAACAATATATTTGGAAATTTCGTAAGTATTATAAATAAAAATGCTATTCAGGATAATTCATGAAATTCTTAGTAGTTTAATTCAGTACAATAAATTTTAAAAGGCAGCCAAAGCCTGTAAAGAGCTGCCGTACTCAGATAGAAGAAATATGACTGATGACGGCGTTCATGCAGACAAGTCATCGCGTGTATTCTGAATAAATACGGCACTCCTAGCGAAAGGGTCAAATAACGGGAAGATTTCCGTATCGTGATCTGTGGCTGGATAATCGCCAAGTATTGGCAACTTCCGGGCAGCGGCCCGCGAGAAACTGAAAATAAAATCACAGAAAGGGACCAACTCGAAAGGTATTACTCGCAACTCCCTCAGGGAAAACATCTACATGTTTTTTGTAGTTGTTGTTGTTAATTTACGTCGCACTAGAGCTGCACAATGGGCTATATAAAAAACACTTGGTTTCAGTGNGGATGATCCGAAGACATGCCATCACAATTTTGATCCTCTGCGGAGAGGATGGCTCCCCCGCTTCGGTAGCCCGGCGACCTGCGCGCGAAGTCGAGCACTTTACGGTAGAACAGTTTAACAAAGACCCATACCGCACACCCTCAGTCACTAAGCAGACTGATCCAAGTAGTCACGCACCCGCACACTGACCGCAGCCAATGATGCTTGATTTCGGTGATCTGTTTGGAACCGTGTCTTAGCGATCAGTATACTGCGGGACGTTTGCACATTTATAATTTATCTTTGATAACGTAACCAACAAGGACGTAAGATCAATATGAAGGGATAGGGAGGCGGCAATTTTAGTAAAACAATATTTTGAAAGCTATCTGAAACTATATATTTATTTCGTGATTTTTAAAATGTTTCTATAAAATTAAATTACATACATTTAATAAAAATTGAATATATGTGTGAATTTTGGATTGTGGTTCTTATTTCTTGATTGTGGTAAATACAGACTATCAATATTTGGCAGTGATTAATAGCATTTTTTTGGTACTGCATAATTCAGAAAATATTTATTTATTGAAATTTTAAGTTTAAAATCTATTTGACACCTAGGCTATTGTAGTAGTCTTTAGGGGAGGAACGAATCTTCACAGCCCTTTCACAAAGCACCATCTTTTTTTTATGATTTTAAAAATATGGGCATATTCTTCATAAGAAGATTAACAAAGATAATAAATGCATTTTGGTTAAATGATTTTATTTTTCTGGGATAATCATAATCAGGGAAAGTGCATCAGATACGACCAAAATTATGCTTATTACTACAATGATTCTACCTCCACATTACACCAAAGATTGAACTAACCACCTCCATCATAAGAAGTCAAGTTCAATACCACTATTCCGAAAATAAGGAGTCCCGCAGTGGACTGATCGATAAGACACGGTTCCGGACCGAGGGTGTGCGGTAATGATCCTCGTTAAACTGTGCTACCGTAAAGTGCTCGACTTCGCGCGCAGGTCATCGGGCTACCGAAGCGGGGGTGCCATCCCCTCCGCAGAGGATCAAAATTGTGATGGCATGTCTTCGGATCATCCTCCGGGATGTTTCCCAGACCGTCGCCAATAGCCCATTGTGCAGCTCTAGTGCGACGTAAATTAACAACAACAACGAAAATAAGGTTTTGCTATTTTGAAATTTTTTATGTGGTTAAGTATAACCGAACAATTTTAGTACTCTTAGAATTTATCCAACGTAGGTTTTTATTAGAGAATACTATCTATTAGTTAGAACAGTGTTTCCCAACGTGGGGCCCACGCCCCACTGGGGGGTAATTTGATTATTAAGGGGGGAAATTCGAAAATGGACTCGACAAGAGTTTTACCCATTTGCTCCGGGCCATTTAAATACTATGCTAGATTTCGGTTCCAAAATTGAAAGAAAAAAAGCAAATTGTTAAATAATTGCGGCCAATAAATATTATAAATTCGTTTGATGAGACCAAAATATAAACTGGGTTTTTGGCTTCGTTAAGTTAACTAACATCCCAGTGGCATATGGCAGGCTCCGTGTAGAACCCTAGACGCTTTAAAATTTCGCTAAATAATGCAATTGTTCGCATCTGAATGGCCCGTCGCAACTTCTGTAGTGTTTCGCAACATTCAGTGATAGAAATCAATACCATAGTATGTCTTTTATGACTGCAATGCAACAGTAAAGTCTTTATTTACTGCTCACACTTCAACTCATAATTGTATTCTTGAGGCTAGTTATGAAATTTCTTTATTCATCGCTAAATTTGGAAGAAATCATACTATAGGAGAGAATTAAATAAAACCGTCAATATCAGCATTTCTTAAAACGGTTATTGAAAAAGATGTAGAAGCTATGCCACTCAATAACAATACTGTTAACAGAAGAATAGACGAAATGAGTGAAGATATTGAAAAACAACTTGTTGACAAGCTAAAAACAAGAAAATTCTCAGTGCAAATGGATGAATCAACTTTGATAGGCAGTTTGGCAGTATTGATAACTTACATAAAATATATTGATAAAGGGCATTTTGCTGAAGAAATGTTGTTCGGTAAAAGATTAGAAAGCACCACTACCTCCAAATATATTATATAATAAGCTAGAAAAAACTACTTAGATGTCAATAATATACCAATGAAAAATATAACATCTTGTGCTGCAGATGGTGCTCCTAATATGATGAGCAAGAAAAATTGCTACTTAAAATTGATGAAAGTTGAGAATCCAGAAATTCTTGTGCAATGTGTTATTGCATGGGTAAAAGTTGTGCATAGGGAAAACTTGGTAGCTAAAAACATCTCGCCTGTTCTAAATGAAGTACTTACATTCAGTAATAAAGTGTATCGATGATATTAAAGCTAATGCCAAATGTGAACGCCTCTTCAAGCTGTTTTGTGAAGAGCAAAATGCAGACCATGTGGGACTTTTACTTCACTCTGAAGTAAGAGAACTGCTTGAAAAGATTCATGGAACTGTTTGATACTCTTAGTGATTTTTTAAGCGACAAACCTGATATGACGTATCTGCTAACAGTCGAGGGTAAAGTATTTGTGAGTTACTTAACCGATATCTCCGAAAAACTATATATATTAAATAAGCAACTTTAAGGAACAAATAAAACTCTTGTTGATACAAAAACGAATACATTTGGTTTCATTACCCTTCGAGTTAAATCTGAAAACAAAAACTTGGATCAGTTCGTCCCCAAAAATTGAAAGTAAATGATACCGCTTTACTTGTTATTGTCGATCATCTGAAAATTCTATCGGCTGATTTGAAAGATTTTCTGATTTAAAACAAATTGATTTTTCAACACGGATGATGCAGCCAATGCTAGTGCATTTGTCTGGTATATGAAATATGCAGTATCAAGAAGAACTCTCAGAAATGCAAAATGATAAGTCAGTTAAAACTTTATTTTATATAAAAGGAGTGATTGCATGGCTTTCTGAGGAAACAGAAATCAAATACCCAAATATGCAAGAAAACTATTGTTACCGTTTCCATCTTCATATTTAGCTGAATGTGGATTTAGTGCTGTAAATGATTTACTGGTTAAAAAAAAGGAAATCGCCTGGATATAACACAGTGGGGAGACTTGGGGCTGAAGCTAACCGAATTGGAAACTAACATAAAATCTCTGTGCAGCAAGCATCAGACGCAAGGATCTCTCTAAATTAAAATATTAAATTATTATAGAAAAATCTTTATGAAAATTATTTCGAATTTGAATTTTAGTTTTTCATTATAAGTTTCATTATAAGTCAAAATTGTACTTACTGTGTTTCGTCAACAATTTCCTAGAGATTTCTCACTGAATCCTATCATTTAAGTTTCTTATGTGAACAGTTCAATTTTTTAATAATAAAAATTATGTGTATGTCACATAGGGGGGCATAAGAATTTTAAAAAGGCTTGAGTGGGGCAAGACACAAAAAAGGTTAGGAAACACTGAGTTAGAACATACATACATTATAACTAGAATGTATAATTTGTTTTGCTTTCAGACAAATTTGAGTTCGACTATGGATTGACTAGACTAGGGGACAAATATTCTGTATCAGGCCAAATCACTAATTTTTGCATCTCTAAGAGCCACATATTAGCTTTTTTTCACTAAGCCAAATATGAAAATAAAATTTCTCAGAAGTGAAAATTTTCAATTTTCATGCACAGAGATTTGGAGCTGTAAAAAGGAAAAGTGAAACTTGTGAGAGAGAGAACGATTAGACTTTTCCCCAGAGAGGGAAAAACGAAAAAAAAAAAACTGTTTATTTTGTTTTTAAATTGGTAGAGGTGGGCCTAAGGTAAAAAGGTCTCTTTTTAAGAACACAACAAATTTAATAAAACAAAAATAAATACAAAAGTAAACATCACGAACACGACATTTCCATGCGAGTACAACCTAGGCACAACTCTACCAATCTAAAAAGAAAGTAAACAGTTTTTTTTTTTCGTTTTTCCCTCTCGGGGAAAAAATCTAATCGTTCTCCCTGTCACAAATTAGACTTTTCCTTTTTTTATATATAGATCCTGCAGTGAACGGATAGGTGACCATTTTGATCAGCCTGCGTAGGGACAGAAGGTGTGCGATATCGGTTCTCGTTAAACTGTTCTACCGTAAAGTGCTTGACTTTGCGCGGAGCACGTCGAGCTACCAAAGCGGGGGAGTCATCCCCTCTGCAGTAGATTAAAACTGCGATGGCATGTCTACGGATCATCCTCAGGGGCTTTTCCCAGACAAATAGCCCATTGTGCAGTTAAAGTGCGACATAAATAAAGTACCTACCTACTCTTTTTATAGCTCTGAATTTCACTGAAATAGTTAAAGTACATTCTTCACAAAACTCCATTTACATAAACTATATGATTAAGATTTCTAAATATAATGAAAATAACAATAGACGGTACGACCACTATAATATAAAAAAATCTTTTATTACACTTTTTACAAGAATAAAGCTACTTAGCAGTATGAACAAAATCGCGGACACTTATATTACATAGATCACGAGATTAAGGTTTCTCACCAGTATGAGTGCAACTATGTCTAGTTAGATATTCCCTTGATGAAAAAATTTTATTACAAATACTACAAGAAAAAGATTTATCACCAGTATGATTACGACGGTGTGTAATCAAACTATTCTGATATGAAAAACTCTTGTAACATATGCTACATGAATAAGGTTTCACATCCGTATGTTCACGTCTGTGTTCAGCCAGATTACTCCTACATGAAAAAATCTTATTACATATGCTACAAGAAAAAGACTTCTCACCAGTGTGAACATGCATGTGCTGACTTAACCGATGCTTGTGCAAAAACTTCTTATTACATTTATGACAAGAATAAAGTTTTTCACCATTATGAATACGAATATGTTGGCTTAAATAATACTTTTGTGAAAAATTCTTACTACATATATGACAAGAATAAGGTTTCTCATTGGTATGAACATGAATATGCTTAGTCAGATAACTTTTCTTAGAAAAACTCTTATTACATATATTACAAGAAAAAGGTTTATCATCAGTATGAACCTGTATGTGCTGACTTAACTGATCCTTCTGAAAAAAATTCTTACTACATATACTACAAGAATAAGGTCTTTCACCAGTATGCATACGAATATGCTGATTTAAATTATACTTTTGTGAAAAGCTCTTATTACATATACTACAAGAAAAAAGTTTCACATCAGTATGAACCCGCATGTGCTGACTTAACTGATCTTTCTTAAAAAAATTCTTACTACATATACTACAAGAATAAGGTCTTTCACCAGTATGAATACGAATGTGCTGAGTTAAATTATACTTTTGTGAAAAACTTTTATTACATATACTACAAGGATAAGGTTTATCACCAGTATGAACACGAATGTGCTTAATCAGAGTACTATTCTTTGAAAAACTCCTACTACACATATTACAAGAAAAAGGTTTCTCACCAGTATGAACACGAATGTGCTCAGTCAGATGACTATTCTTTGAAAAACCTTTACCACATGTGCTACAAGAATATCGTTTTTCACCAATATGAACATGAATATGCTGAGTCAGATGAATCTTCTTTGAAAAATATTTATTACATACACCACAAGAATGAAGTTTCACAGCATGAGCACGACTATGTCTAGTTAGACATTCCTTCGTTGAAAAACTCTTATTACATGCACTACAAGAATAAGGTTTCTCACCAGTATGAACCCGTCTGTGTGCTGCCAGATGACTGTTCTGTGTAAAACTCTTATTACAAATATGACAAGAAAAAGATTTCTCACCAGTATGAATACGCATGTGCTTAAGCAGATTACTCCTACGAGAAAAACTCTTGTAACATATGTTACAAGAATAAGGTTTCTCACCCGTATGTACGCGTCTGTGCTCAGTCAGATTACTCCTATCTGAAAATTTTTTATTACATAAACTACAAGAATAAGGTTTCTCACCAGAATGAACATTCATGTGCTGATTAAACACAACCTTCTGTGAAAAACTCTTATTACATATAGTACAAGTATAAGGTTTCTCACCAGTATGAATCCGAATGTGCTGATTTAAATTATACATTTGTGAAAAACTCTTATTACATACACTGCAAGAATAAGGTTTTTCACCAGTATGAATAAGAATGTGCCTAGTCAGAGTACCTTTCTTAGAAAAACCCTTATTACATATACTACAAGAATAAGGTTTCTCGGCAGCATGAACATTATGCCTAAGCAAGTTGCTGTCTTTTAAACTCATATTGGTTTCTTAGTACATTAACACTTACACAGCTAAATTATCTTGTTAAAAATTTTTACATGCACTTTAATTTTAAGGTTTAATAAGGATGGACAGTCTTATGCCTGATTAAAATAAATTTTTATCAGAGCTACAATAGAAGTATTTAAGTTATACATCTAAGTTAGAGAAATGAATTAATGAATGAAAAAGAAGAAAACATAATATTAAAATATCATACACTATTACATTAGTTTTTAGGCAATGAAAATGCCTTTCTTGAATTTTTCACAGTGGTAGTTGAAACAAATTTTAAGATGTTAGATAACCTCTTCGTGGCTTTTATTCTAATTTAACTTCCAGGGTAATGTATTCAGCTTAGAGGAGCAAACCTAAAAAAATAGAAAATACTCTTTTAATGACAATTAAAATTATGTCAACAGGTAAAGAGGGCAAAATAAAACAAGATACCACCTTTAATAACTTTTGGTGTTTAATGGTTCAAAAAGATGACCTTAAATATGGTAATTATTCAATGCATATACAGACACAAAAACATACTTTTTCTGAATAAACATACCCTAAACTTCGTAGTGGTTGAAAATAAATATCTGGACAACATTTTGCAAAAACATCAGGACAATTTTTGTACAATAGAAACATAACAGAATACCACTTCTTATAAAATTTTGCTTTGTACGACATATTACTTTCAGGGTATCCACCACATTTTAGATTTTCAAATCCATGACTTTTCATGACTAATTCCAAGAATTTTTCATGACTTAACGAAGTTACTATTTTCTCCGACAAAAATGTAACAATAAATTTAAAAAAGCATTATAATAACATTCATTGAAATGATAGGTATAATCAAAACTGTTATACTCTGCATCTTCATATTTATAGATTTTAAATTTAAAAAACAGAGTAAAGATAGAGTTGAAGCAATGAAATAGCTGAAAAAAATACAAAAGCAAATATTTTTTCTGCAAAATTCTTAGGATACTTTTTTTGTTCATCAGAAAGGAAAGAAATACTCCTGATTTTCATTTCGGAATGAAAAAAATTCGCCAGTGACTGGCTTGCTTCAACTAGAATTTTAAATTGATAAAATAAAAATTATTCTGAAATCACAGGAAGCTTAAAAGATAATTCGCTCCAGAAATGATTTTTTTTTCTTTCATTTTTTTTAAAGAACACCATAATTTTCAAAGAACATAAAAACATTTTATATTTTAATAAAAAATGACTGTGAGTGGGGATTTTGTTACAAATTCAGATATTCAAGACACCCTGAAATAAGGGGGGGGGGAATAAATTCCATTTTAAAAATTAGATTTTTCGGCGATCTAAATCCATGACTTTCCATGATTTTTTTTAAAAAATACTTAAAATCATGACATTTCAAGAAAAATTTTTTTCAATATGGAAATTCATGACTTTCCATGATTTTTCGTGACTTTCCAGGTGCGCGGGTACCATGTACTTTCTGTGACTACTTGTGGAAGTCGGAATTTTTTAAAAATCCAACCGTCCGTAAGTACAATACGTAGTGAAATAACAATACGTAGTTAAAATTACTTTTGATTTTAGTTTGACTCTAGTAGAACAACAATTTGTTTTAATGAATTTTTACATTATTTAGAACTTAGAAAAAGAAAAAAAAACATTCAAAGTTTTTAAATAAAAAGTTAAGATACAAACAAGCTGATAAAAAAATGTGCAATTTTGCACATACGTATAGTGCGCAAAAAAAATAAACAGACTACCCTGAATAACTTTATATCTAATAATCGGGTCTTCACATAGCACTTAATGTTAATGGTACAAGGGGGTGACCTCAAATAAGCTAACTAATTAGTGCAGACGATATTTTAAGTTACGAAATCGGACAGAAAAACGTACTTTCTTTGAATTTTTTTGACGGATTCAGATTTCTGACCCCCAAAATATAAGGGATAGTCTCAATCTGGGAAACATAGTCCTAACAGTTTGGTCAGGAGAATGATCAGAAGTTTAGACCCCTTAATGTTAATTTTACTTTTTGCAAATTTTACCATAAACCTATATGCATGAGAACTTTTAATGTGAATTCAGAAATTTTTGCTCATAATTATAAAATTCGTATATCCAAAGAAAATTTGATGCAAAAATAACTTTAAGTAAATAACTTAAACTTAAGTTATTTTATTTAATACTAGACAAAAAAATTTTTTTGAATTGTAAACCATTTTTATATGATTGTAAACAATTAAATTTCTACATGACAAAATATGAGAGAAATCGGACGCATATGTCCTGAGAAATTGAATTTTAAGCACATGGCTATTTTAAAATTCGATTTCACCCAAATTTTGTCACGTAAAATTTTCTTCAAAATGATGTAAAAATTTGTATACCTTACAATTCAAATTTTTTTTGACTAGTATTAAATAAAATAAAAAATATTTACTAAAAGTTATTTTTTACATGAAATGATCTATGGATATATGAATTATATAATTGTGAGCGAAATTTTTTCTCTTAGCTTAAAAAGTTCTCGAGATACAGTGAAATACGCAAAAAATACAAATAGCATGAACATTGTGTTCAGACAGTTTTTAAATGCTATTCATCAATAAAAAGCTCATTTAGCAAAATAACAGAACAAATAAGAAATGGAGAGCTTACAGATTAGCATTTACCAACAATGTTCATATTTATTAAAAAATTTTTTATGTACAGTGTGGAAGAAAAACAATCCCGTGAGATAAACTTTTGATCTAATGATCCATCTTTCATGAGCTAGACAGGCGCAAGCTTTAGCAAACCATTTTTGTAAGAAATACTTTTTATTAAAAAATATTTCATACAATTTTGTAGTTTTAAAACTATAAATTAGATATTCAAGGAATATTTTTAATTATAATTTTTTTTAATATTTGGGAGTGGATGGGAGAATAATTTTTTAAAACTTTTATAGTGAGGAATATTTTTTCAGCCAAATTTATTGTATCATCAATGCTTGAAAAAATATCAATTTATTGAATCATCAACTACAAAAAATATCAAAAGAGAAGCACCTTTACAATTTGTGATTTAGTTTGAGGGTAATGGCAGTTTTTAGGAAGAAGGGATAGATCTCAAAATCTTTTTTTATTTAGGGGGATACTTCTCGGATTTTTGATATTAGTGAGGATCAAATTTTCTACCCATGTTTATTATATCTTCAACTGAATTCATATGACAGTTCTATTTAAAAGTTTCTAATTATTAGCGTATGATAAAACTCCTTCACTTATCCGTGAAAAGGAGAATAACAAAAAGCCCTTTCAGTCTGTAAACATTTTAGCATCCTAAATTCCAGACTCCCTTTCTATAATATCAAATGTCTCATAAAGATCTCATAATGTCTCATTCAGAGCCTCTTTTCAAGAGGAACTCAAAAATCATAATGTCCCACAATGACCTAGGATGAAATCTGTTGCCATGTTTCGTCTGATAACTGGCCACGATTGCCTGAAAAAACATCTATGTCGCATCACTGTGGTTCATGATCCCTTTTGTACATTGTGTGACCTCCACGAGGTAATGGACTTGTCTCACCCGTCTAGGTGCCCTGCTCTTATTTGTAGGCTTAATGTTATCTTTTTTGATGTTCAATTGTCTTTTAATGTGCCATTGGAAATAAAATAAAAAAACATTTTAGCATCCACATTAGCACATAAATAAATTTTATTGCATATATTATAAAATTTTAAACATATCAAGAGTTTTTCTTAATGTACCTAGTTACACAGCATGAATCCAATCCACAATTAGGATGATGATTATATTTAAATCGCTTTTTCTTTATTCAATTTCTTCTTTCAATATGAAGAGAAGAGTGCAGTAAAAATAAGATACTTTTTAAATAAATGAACCTAGTAAATAATTTTTATAAAAATTATTCTGGTCATCCTAAATACTAATCACTTTTGATGCTTTTTCGATAAAGATTGCTTAAATATTTGCAGAAGAAAAATATGTTTTTTGAACCGAACAAGCACAGTTTAGAAATAAGATTATCATAACTAATAGAGTGAAAGTTTTCACATTCTAAGAGTTTCATACTTTAATCAAATTATTGATTAAAACATTCTTTTTTCATAGAATTTATTTGCAATTTGCTACCAAACTTGACTAGACGGGGGATTTATTTACATTAATAGTTACCTATTTCTGCCCGCCTAAAATGCTGAAAAGCGTTGAAGTCTTCTGCATGGAAGCCGCTATAAGGAAGCGGTGTACGAACAAACAGCTGCAGGCTCTTTACTTGTTGCTGTTGTTAATTTACGTCGCACTAGAGCTGCACAATGGGCTATTGGGGCTCTTTACTTCCATTACTACTTCCCATATTTGCTTCCGGCGCCGGCAGCGGGATGCAAGAGGGTGCACTTGCACTCCCCTGGCTTTTTTTTTTAAACAACTAAAGAGATACAGAAAAACAATTTTGTTATAAAAATTTTTTATTAAAGATATTTTTATTCAAAAACAAATAGTCCCGCAGTAGACTGATCGTTAAGACACGGTTCCCAGCAGATCACCGAAGTCAAGCATCACTAGCTACGGTCAGTGTGCGGGTGGGTGACCACTTGGATCAGCCTGCGAAGGGACCGAGGGTGTGCGGTATTGGTCCTCGTTAAACTGTTCTACCGTAAAGAGCTCGACTTCGCGTACAGGTTGTCAGGCTACCGAAGCGGGGATGCCATCCCCTCTGCAGAGGATCAAAATTGTGATGGCATATCTTCGGTTTATCCTCCGGGATGTTTCCCAGACCGTCGCGAATAGCCCATTGTGCAGCTCTAGTGCGACGTAAATTAACAACAACAACAAATAATTAAGTAATTATTTATACATAACAATTTAAAAAAAATTTAATCAAACAAGAATTGTAATCGTCTTGTTTGCTGTCCAAATCTGTTTATAACTTTTTCCTTGAATTCTGTTTATAACTTTTATAATGGTTAACTTTTACATCTATAGAGAATCAAAGATGACTCAGAAGTCATCTTTGATTCTCTTCTTATGCACACTGAGCATGCACAAACTCGGCAGATATCTGAGCTATATTTTTAAATTTCATTTAATAAAATATAAATAATATTATATTTTCTATTAGTTATTTAGTTTAGCAAAGGTGTATAACACAAACTGGCTTCTCACAACTGTAAAGCTTCATCACACAATAAATATCAATGTTAAGCGTGCAGAAACACGTTAGTATGCGAAACTACTGTTTGTAGTTATTTGTGTTTCAAAGTCAGTAGCTATACAAGCACCATCAATACAGTTTCTATCGTGACAAAATTTGCAAGTACATGAAATTCGTACTTTTTATTATTACCACGTTTATATAAACTTGCCTTCGTGTATGTCTGTCCGGGTGGAATTTTGTAATCGATTTTAAACTAACTTCCCGACTAGCTACAAACTTCAAATTTGGCACATAGTTCAGAATTGGATGACAATGCATGAAAATGAAGAGAAAAAAGACATGCAAAGTAAAATAAAATTAAAATTTAAAAAAAAAAATATTTTCGAGATTGTCTTTTGTTGTCGATTCCATTATTTCAAATTATTACGTGTCAGGTGAAAA